AGGCCACAGACAGGGAGCCTGAGCTGGCGACAGCACAGTCAAGGTCAGCGCTGGAGCGCCAAGCAAGAGCCCAACACACAGACTACGAGGAGGCTCCTCGGTGCCCAAATGAAGGAGCTGTGGTCTTAATCCCAGCAACCGAATCCAGGGTGTTACTAGTCCCTGATTTGGTTTCCAAGAATTATGTTTTTTGTAGTCTGCAGCACCCCAGACTAATAGGACAGGGATGGGAGGGAGTACTAACTACAACGCACAGCTCATCACCAAGCCTGGAGGATGACAGTCTTCCTCAGCAGGACAGATGGGGAGAAGAGGCTCCTGCCTTCCAGCTGCCTGTTTGTCCTGACAGAGATGTAAAACTTTTGCAGCCCAACTCGGAAAGTTCCAGCTGCCACAAAAGGGATGTGCCCTGCCAGCAGTAGCTGCTGTGCTGGCTTCCTTGCCTCTGACCTTGCCTTCGGAGCTGGAAGTTTGTCCATCTCGCCGACAGCCCCAGACAGCCATCTGCTGGGCAACTGCATCATAAACCAGCCTAAACAGCACTTACGACCAGGATGATCAGGCTTCTGTTCTTCCTAGCTTCCTGTGAGATTAGGAGCTCGACAGGATGCATTTGACAGGGCAGCTGGAATAGGCAGCGTTAAGCATCAGTGTCTGGAATTTTAAGAAAGAAGATGCACGTCTCTCCCTCCCAAGAGGTGTCAGTATTTCTGGAATACACAAGTAAAATAGAATGAAAAAATCCAGCTTTACAATACATCTTAAAGCTGAAAATTGTTTCTAGGCATCACAGCCCCAGCACCAAAGTCAGAAAGGCGACCAGAGCAGCTGGGGACCCCAGACAGTACAGGATAGCATTTGGTCGTTAGGCAGCACAGAGCCATAAAAGCAAACCCGGTCCTCTACGAATTAGTTTGGATTTAGCCTCAGTAAACCTAGAATTGTGTTTAAAACCATTTGAGAGCTTAACGTCCTTTAATCACTGCTTCTCTGAACCAGTATTAACTCAGTCTTCATGCTTTAAGTATTTCAGTCATCCATAGGTGCAGTGACTTTGAGAAGCAGGAGCAGCAGCAGGTTCCCAAGCAGCGAGGAATGGGAAAGGTCCGCGGTGGGTAAGGCAGCAGCAAGAACGTGGAGGCAGCTCCAAGCAACTGAGATTTTCCCACACCAGGGGATACCCCATTGGTTTCACACCTCCACCCTGTAAAACACAAGAGGTGGAGTCTGGGGAGGGCAGGTTCCCTTCTGATGCTTCCAAAGAATTGGGAAGGAAAGAGGCATTCAAGGTTTCTGCAGCAGCACTGGGTGGAAAACTTCCCAGGGCTGACCATGCCTGTGGAAAGCCAAGGTGAAGACTGTGTCCTTATGGTAGAGGCCAACAGACCATGGCAGACCAAGGACAAACCCTCAGCCTCCTTTCCTGTGGGCCATCAGGACAGATGCTTTCCCTAAGCTCCCCTATATCTGTGTCCAGGCCTCTCCCTGGAAAACATAAAATCTTTCCACAAGCAAGATGCGTTATTTCATGTCTGGCTTTATAGTTAAGAAGTTGCATCCGCAACACGGCACCTAACAGGACTTGTATGACAAACGTGTGAAGGGCGGAACATTAATTTCCATGGCTCATGTCAGAAATCCAAAAGCTAAAAGGCAAGGGGTTAACAATTAAAGACAGCACGGCACAACTTATTTCCCAATCACATCTCAGGATTAAGAATTGGAAAACTTCCGCAAAACTAACCATGCATGACCATGCAAAAAGTAAATGAACCAAAGCACACATTGTAGCCAAGCAGCAGCTAGCTTTATTCAGTTCTAGCAACATTGCATCAAAACTAAAAGAAACTAAAGTTGCTTTTTGCTTCTTAGCATTAGTCATTTCTCTAATGAAAATGTGATTATGTTTAATAATATTCAGAGAAAACCAAGGAACAGGAGCAAGAATAAAGTTAGACAAGACTGCAGAGCTCATGTCTCCTTGTGTCAGAGAAACTGAGTTCTTGGAACTGCCGTTAAATTTTCTCAGGTCAATGTAAGCGATTGAATGTCAGGACACAGCATTTGATGAATCAAATGGTGGGCTGCTAGGAGTGATGCTGTACCTTTGAAATTGCATTTTGGATATCTTCAGTGGGATAGAAAGGGATTTTGGAGAAAAGTTCAGGTTAATCAAACACATTTCCCCACTGGCTGCCTCAGTAAAGCTTAGTACAAATATTAAGCATAATTCATTCTCCCTCCTAGCTCCACAGAACAGATGAGTGTGCAAGATCTGATACGGAATCTGTAATACCCCTCAACTCACTGAAACGTAGTTCTGGCCTCCCCTGTCTAGTTCTGTGTTTGCTGCATTACACGCATATAAGATTAAAACCACTGTCAACACAGAAAGAGCCACAACTAAAAAACTACAAGAGATGAGAATGCTGACATTGCTTGTAGATATTAGTACATGCAGCTGCTAACTTATGCCCTGAGAGTTAAGTACACACTGCCAAACAATTATTTCAAGGAAATTTTTCAGCATTAATAGTTACATGTTTCTTCAGTAAACAAAGAATTACATTTTAAGAAGTGTCTCCTTCTTCCATGAGGAAGTACTTAAGGTAGTGTGTGTAATAGTGACAGCTGTCTGTTAGCAGCATTACTGCTGTGGTACATTGGCTCAGAAGACAGGTGTATCACCTCTAACTCTTCATCAACTCTGTTTCAGAGCTACGCCTTACATTTCTGAATGGCACATAGCACCACCTAAAGAATGTGAGGAAGGCAAAAAGGTATTAGGCAAGCAATCATTCCTGAAACTTCAAGTGATCATTCATTTATTCCTTTGAGGCAGACTTGCGCTCTCTTCCTTCTCCTCTCTAATTTCCAAAGACTTCCTAGTCTTCATAGACCTGGTGCAATCCAGTTAAGAAACTTCATAGCAACTTCAAAACCAAGAAAACATGCCTGGAAAAGAGAGAACATACAGAACAAATAAGGATTCTAAAAACCTATTCCAAACAAGGTTTGGAAATGCAGCACTATGAACACCTGATGTGGAAGAAGGAAGAAACCAAAAAAAAGGTCTTGGACCAGAGGCAAGAATTCTACTATATCCCTCTACAGAAAGGCAGAGCTTCTGCTCTCTTAGGCTCATAATTTATTGGAGGGGAAGACAGTCCAAACTTATCCACACATTTCTGTCCTCTACCAGTGGATGTACAATCAGTAGAGAAAGACTAACGGAGAAAGTCAAAGGGCTTTCATGCAAAGCTTCGACAGAAGGTTTACTTGGTCTTCCTCCTAGATTCAGGCACATTTTTAGAACCTGGACACCAACAGCCCAAAGTACCTGCAGTGACAAGAATCTCACTGAAATGGTACAACAGTAAACAGCCATTCATCTCCTCTACAGACTGCAAACATTCACTGTGAGTGGCCAGGTCCCCAAAACTCATCTGGAATCGCAATTTACTTACCGCGTTAGCGGGAAATGCCCTGATCATTACAGCTGTGAAGCCCTTATACAGAGACGCAACTCCTTCCTCTCTGATAAGTTCTCTCAGCACATCTCTAAAGCCATTTGGGTATTTTCCTAGAGGAGCTGAAAGGGATACAACACATATTAGCTAAGATGTGTGGCAATCACAGGTGCTGAAGGATGTGGTATATGTAACAGCCCAGGATTTTCAACAGGTTTGTATTGCTATGGCATCTAAGTGACAGCAGAATCCAAGCATTGCTTAAGCTATGTTGTGACAACATCTGCTTGAAAAAATTATCTATTTCAGTCAAAAGCAAGCAAACAAAAAAGACACCTTACTAAAGATTCAGTAAACAGAAGGTAGGGCTCACCATTACCACAAAGAATTTACATCATCAAGCCATTGGGGGGCAGGGAAGAAAGGAGAATAACTTTTGTCAGGGTTGGAAGTCTGAGCTGTTACTTGCACTGTTGATCACAGCTCTCCCAAGAGCTGCAATCAGCACACAGGAAGGTCAGATATAAAAATTGATGAAGCTAGTTTATATGAAACAGAAAATGATCCTGTCATGTGCCCCAGCCAAGAACAGCAACAGACTTCAAGTGAAAAGCACATGCTGATGTTACACAGATTTGCTGAGGTGTTTTTAAAAAGTTATTCTATTCAAAGAACAAGTTCCTCCTTCTCCTGACACTTCTCTGGGAAGTACTGCCTCTGCCAGCCCTCTGAACAAGTACTCCACAAACCAACCCAGTTAAACAGAACCACCGTTAACCCATGTCATCTACACCGGGGATTGGCTCAGTGGAACAAGGACGCAAAGCTGTAATGTATTTCACACTCAGCCCTTGGTACGATATCAAACCACCACAGCAGTCATTATTCAGAGAAAAAGAAAAGATGTTTCCTGCACTAGATTACCATGATCCATGACTCAAGAAAAATGGTTACTGTCCAGCAGAGAGCTGAGTCCACAGACAGAGACTATGGGGACCTTTAACAAAACTATTCATTGACCAGGACTCCCAGAGAAACCAATGAAAAAGCTGACAAACTTTGCTGAAGCGCAAGGCCTAGGGCTATCCTCACTATAATTAGGCCACAGATACTTAAGAGCAGAGCTGCTAGTCTAAAAGCAATGCTTTCAGCAAGGCACGCCCAGTTGCTATAAATTTCAGATAGCACAGGCTACAATTTATACAATGTCTGAAGTGAAATAACAAAACCTCTAAGAATTACATTTGTAATAAAAACAGCCATGACAAGCGGTTCTATTATTATGACTAGTATAGGATCACTATACTAGCAGGGAGGCAGAAACAGAGAAGTGCAGCCTGATTTGCCAAACCAACTAAAAAGTTAGGAACACACTTGGGTTTTTCATGTCCTTGTCTCAAGCAGCGCTCAGGACATGCTACCTCCCAGATGCCATGCTCCGATGGCATCTTCCATGGCTGCCCAGCCCACTCCCAGAAGCACCGCACTGAGCATGGCCATGACAAGCTGGGATGCAACTCACCAGTCTGGAAACGGGATTTCAGCACGTCTGGTGGAATGGCAACTGCCCAGTTGAAGATGCCAGCCAGGCCCCCAGCAAAGAGGATCCTAGGCACACTGAGGTCACTCACACTGTGGCAGGATAGGGGTGAGATCGAAGGAAAAAGAAAAATGAAAACAAAAAAAAGAAAGGAAAAAGAAAAAAAAAAAAAAAAAGAGGTAAAAACTCATCTGTTTTGACTAAGGTGACAACCAAAGAGGCGGCCTGACTGACAGCCAGAAGGAAGCACAATGCTGCAGACACTGAGTGCAGTATCTGAGCAAGGTTTCCAAGCATCAGAGCCCTGTGGACAAAGTGTACTAACTCCACCCTAAAGGTTCAAATCTTTTCATTCAGCAGCACATACACAGATGTGCTCTGGGGGGAAAAAAACCCAAAACAACCCAACAACAAAAACACACACACACAGGGGTGAAAGTGAAGAGACCTACCTGAAGTATTTCTTACTTGGCTAATAAGAGCCAAGGCTAGAATGTGAGAGAAACTCAGAATACTATTTTAACTGTCAGTTAACCCCAGGCCAAAACAGCTCAACTCATATTTTGTTTTAATGATACTTCTCTAAATCTCTTTGTAACTGGGATGATTAATCAGCAGTGTCTGGGAAGTCCAGAAAATGAGGACTGTGAGATTTCACTAACCTCCTTCCCTCAGGGGTCAGAATGTTCTTCAGCCATTCGTACGTCATGAAGTACATTCCGCTGGCTGGGACGTCTAGTGAGTAAACAAAGACTGTGAGTAGTGGGAAACAAAACGAAGCCTAGAGGCACAGCAGCTCCATGCCAGTTCAGCAACACCACTAAGTACATCCAGATTCCTTTTCTGAACCTCCTCTACAAACAAAATAAAAATCTTCTGTTGCTCTAAACAGAGGAACCTGAACTTTCCCAGGGAGAGCAGGTGCTAAAGGCAAGAATTGGGAAAACATCTGTTCTCCAGTGCTTCCATCTGCAGCCTTTCAAATCAGACTGTAACCTGCCTGCTGGCCATTAAGCTAATGATGAGACAACTCTAAGGATTCTTAATTACTGCATAGCAGATCAGAGCAGTTCAGGAAGTTCAAGAGTTTTCCACACTATTTGTTCTAATGAATCTATTTTGGGACATTTTTTTTGCAGTTGATGGGTTTTGGTTCAGGGGTTTAAGGTACTCCTGCAGCTCATTCTTAGCTCATGCCTAAACTGGAGAACTAGCCTCTGGCTAGGGACACTGCCAGAGTTACATTGCTAGCTGCTACGCTTCTGTGAGAAGCCGAGGATAGAACAAATTCCTAAACTGAGATATCAAAATACAGATATTCCAGCTTATCCTTAAAAAACATTGTCCCAGCACAGGGAACAATCTAACGCTTTTCAAAGGAGGAAGTACCAAAACACGTAAAGGATTCAGTGTCTGGCACAATTACTTGGTTGTTGTTGTTGTTGTGAGAGGGGTCATGACATCCTAGCCCAAAATAACCCACACTCAAGCGGGTAGAAAGCGTAACTGCTGCAATCACATCTTTTAAAGCAGTCAGCACTATACAGCAACAGTCACAGTCAGTCACAATTCTTCTCTCAAGGAAGAAAAAAAAAAAAGAAAAAAGAAAAGCCCACTTCTGCATTTTTCTTTTCTCTTTGTTCTCTCTGGTGCTCTCCTGAAGTCTCTCATTACTATTGGCTTCTCAGATCTTAATTACTTCCTGTTATCCCTCTGATCTTGTCATCTAATCTCTTCCTCACTCAGAATCTCATGTTTATTTCTCAGTCCCTTTGAGGCATTGGAGGAGCTCTGCAGACTGCAAAAAAAGAAAAAGGGGTGACACAGCATCTCCAATTGGCTAAAGGGACAGCGAGATCCCTGATACAATGTCAGGCTTCTTATCTTAAAGTACCCCATGCAGAAGCAGCATCAGAACATCTCCATCAGTTACCTCTCATGAGGGTGAGCACTGTCCCTTTGTACACGCCACGAATCCCAGCCTCACGGTACAGCTGTTTTGCACAGTCCAAAGGGCCATTGTATTTAGTTTCACCTGTAGCTGCCTGGATCTGAAGGATTAAAGTGATAGTTTCTGACTAGTGAAGGCTTCTGGCTGGTGAACAATCATTCAGCTAATAGTTGGAAAGCCATGTGCGTGTTTCCAGAGAGGAAAGAGCATGTACTCATTCCACAGGCACTCCTGCATATGAAACCTCTGTCTCACTTCCTCAAACAGCTCTTTCGTGCTCAAGCTGAGGATTCTGTTTACTGTTCCATGCAGTAGCTAGATTCTCCCTTCTTTTCCCGCAGTGTAAGTTTGAAACAACTGAAGTCAGTTAGGTAATTCTACACTTGTACTGACAAAAAGTAGCCTTCAACTAGTTTAGCAAAATTTAAACCATTTGTTTGTGTATAAAATCTTCCATGATAATATCATGTCTGTCAGAACTAACATGTGACCACCCATCACCATACTAATGGAGTCTGAAATAAGCAAAGCTTCCCCTCTCTGCTAAAGACATATTTTCATTTGTTTAGGTTTACATTTTCCAACAATATTTTAAAAATCCTGGAGGAGGTGTAGAGCTAACAGTCACCCAAACATTAGAAAACTATTTCATGTATTCTGAAATGCATTCCTTAGTTATGTATTGGGAACCTGTCAAGGTAACAGAAAATCTTTACACTAGAAAGAATCTTACGATCTAGTAGTTTTGCATTTTTTAGAAAAAGTTTCATTCTGAAAAAACTGGACTTTTCCATACTTTGAAGTGTACTGAGGCATCCACTGATGCCACATATAATGCCACATAATATAAGGCTTGTGCTCTGTAAAATGAATAGAGCAATGAATGCTGTATGTACTTATACTGTCATAGTGAGTTTGTGTAATGCTTCTTCATGACACAGTTGCATTAAATGACAGTTGTCTCAGTCCTGTCAAAAAACAGAACAGAGTAAATACACTAACCAAAGTAGTTCCTGGTATGGAAAGACAAGACCCCTAAAACTAAATTCCCATCACCACCATCCAATGCCTTACCTGTAAAAGGCACTTGATTCTCTCTCCTGGAGCCATGATTACTGTTGTGAACACTCCAGACAACATGCCAGCAGCAAACAGCTGAGGATACCTGCCCCGAGGAAACAGAAGAGACCCTAACACGACGCAGTAGATAGGAAACAAAGGGCACAAAGACCCCTGTATCACCAGATTATGCGGTTCCGCATGAGGTTGGCAGTGGAACTAGAAATGCGTCCACAGCTTTTGATCAGTGTAGAAGCACCTCATCAATGCATAATTAGAGCTAAACATTTAAGATCTCTAGGATTCAAAGCGCTGGTTCTCGCAGCAACCATAACTCAACTCTTCACATCCACTGTATTTGCTAATATTCCTTGTACTTGCATTTTTTGCTACAGCAGTCCCCATTCATTTTTATTGCCAACAGTCTCTTCCTCCTCCAGTCTCTCACTCACTTCTCAGTGACCCCAGCTTCCACAAGTATTCCTGCTTGCACAGCCAGGAGCCTCCTTTCTGTAACCTCTCAGTCCCTCACTCGTTCAGCCTCTGCCATCGTCAAGTCTGTCCTACCAACCCGCCATCATCCCACACATTCTGCATCTGCTTTCATGTGGCAAAGTCTCCATGACAGAAACCCTTTAAACAGGCCGAGTTTCTCCATCAAAAACTTATCTTTACATCTAACCTCCGGCTACCTTCCCTCGTCAGATGACCTAACATCTCAATTTAATTAAATTCCACACCTCCAGCTTCTCTCCACTTGCCCAAGAGATGGCATTCTATTCAGGTTTTCTTACACCTTTCTTTACTCTTAAATTCTCATTAAATCTTCCAGACCATTCAGACCTCCCTCACCACTCCACATGCACCTCCTGCTCAAACCGAGCTTTGAGTTTTCTAGCTCACCTTGGGATCATTGAGCCCCAGAAAAGATAGAACAGGGTCCACAGGTTTCTCTCCATCTCCTTCCTTTCAAAACTTCCCTTCAAAATCAGCATGGGGGACCACTGCCATCCTGCCTGCCTCTAGACCCATAACCATGGTGCTAAGAGTCTTTATTTTTGGGCCTCACATCCCAAGCACACTGTATCATACTGTGTCAAGTCTGCACCCACAGTACAGCACAGTTGGGCACAATGACAGTTCCACCATTTATTTGTTCTTTCTCTCCTGCAGCTCTGCTTGAGATGAGTTCTACATAAAGACTCAAAAAACTACACTGCCCTTCTCCAGCTTGCTCCTTAAAACTTCCCTTTGGTATGATGCATATAAAACATAAGGCACTGAGGTGATCAGGCTGCTGGAAATAAGCCCACAGCCCATTTGTTTCCGTGTATTGTCCACTCCTTACTGTTCCCCTTCAGCCTTGACTGCATGAGGACACTACTGCGGTAAAACAGAGGGTAAGCTAGTGGTGCCCCAGCACCTCGGCACTGCCTCCCTCTGCGCAACCCGAGCAGAGGGAGTTCGCTCCATGTCATGGCAGTGGCTGGTGCGGTACAGCCAGATGCACTCACGCCACCCGGGACGCCGCTGTGCAGGCAAGGCTCCAACAGAAACCGCACCTCCCCACCCCACCACGCTTGGCTCAACACAATGGACTCCTGCTTTCTGACAGGGCCCCTACGTATTGCACGAATAATAGAATAAAATGTTGCTAAGCTACAGTTCTGTTCCTGTAGAGCTACAAATCACAACTCAGCAAAGAAGTTAAAGGAGTACTTTATGGGTGGAGGGCTTTCTTCATGCATAAGTTAGCTTGTAGAAAGCCACACAAAGTTTTCTTAGCTTCCCATCTCTTTTCCAGAAGGTTAGACATGCCTGAGAGGAGGGCTGCTCATAAACACCTCTTTTCAGAAATTAGTAACAAAATGTTTCTATGGCTATTATTATATCCTAATGTAAGGACACAGCAAGAGTCACAACTAACAGGGAAAAGAGGATCAGGACCGTGAACATTGTCAAGACTGCTTGACCATGAATTTATTTCTTCCATAGTTTATGTTGGCAGGCCATCATTATATAACTTGCACTGTACTCATCTAAAATGGAATTGTTCCTTAATGACTCTTTATTACGTAGAAAGGGAATTGCATAGCACCCGCCCACATGCTATCTGTTTTTAGCCTGTGCTATCAGTCCCACGCTTCCAAAAGCGTTAAAACACACGAGTGTTTTATTTTTTAGAACTATATTTATAACCTAGGAGAAGAGACAAATTTAGACCACAACTCAATGTGCGACAATACAACAGGCTGCAAGAGCCTTAGAATGCCTTTCCCAACTGTCTGATCAACTCAGAAACTCACGTCAAAACGTCATCAGGTTTTCTCTGTTGGAGTCTTTTTCCCAAGCCAAATCCAAAGAAGCACACAGCAAACATGGGTGTCACTCCAACAATAGGAGCTGCCATTCCTCTGTATAAGCCTCGGACTCCCTGCAAGAAACATTACCGCAAGAATTAGTTGGTTTTGCATAGACTTTGCACACGTTTCAACTTATTGAGAAGCAAAAGGCTACACTACAGGATCAGTTGGACAAATTAACCAGACAAATAACGGGATCTATTGTTCATTTGCAATTATACGTGTTTAGCTGAGGCTCAGGGCCTGTTGCAGAGGAAAGCTATCCTTCCTGGAAAACACTGCCACCACTTATACACTTCTGTTCCAATACTGTTCATCCTGTACTTACATCTCAAGTATGAGGAAGTGAAGTTAAAAATCACCTGAATAGTAGTCCTGATAGATTGTCAAAAGTATTCTCTCTCAGATACATACAAAACCACACGCGTGCTTTATTAATAAGTCATCAAATGCAGTAGTGTAAAATCCTGACACTGAGCCTGAGAACACTGAATCAATTCACTCTTTAGATAAAGGAAGAGCTAGGGAGACTAACCTGAACTACTTCACTCCCCACACAAACTCAATGTGGAACGAGTTCAAGAGCAAATTATTTTTTCTTTCCTTCCCTAAGTCAAAACCTTTTCATCATACAACTTTACATTTCTGATGTTTCCCTTCATCAGACTACACACATGGAAAAATTCTCATGCAGACCCCAGCAGTAGCATTTATTTCATTTATCTTGCCTTTGAACTGAAATTTTTCTAATAAAAAGGAGAGTTAGCTTTCTGGATAAAGGCTAGATGTGCAAACTAAATAGTTGCTGGTCCGTCCACCCCTTCCTTTCCCCCCGAAATAAATCAGTGTATCCCAGTATGTGCCTGTACGCTTAGAGGCACAACTGACTCTGTAATGAAATTGTATCTGGCTGACAAAGATCAGACACTCCTGCTCAGCCCTCCCATGAGCAGTGGGAAACAAAAGGCCTTGGCATAGAGGTTTAATAGTTTTCCTTATAGAAACCGATGAGTGTGGAGTAGGAGTAGAAAGGCAGCATTACTTCTGAACTTCACATCGCAAGGCTATTATTACAGCTCAGCTCTGACGTCCGTGCTTCAGCAGGGGTGTTAAAAACTGCAAGGGATTCAGAGCTAGCAAAGCATTTCAGCGCTTTGTGGGAGAGACTAGGGAAGCAAGATTTACTTTGGTTATATAACAACCTGTTAACACCATAATGAAAGCAGATTTCAGATACAAGGCAGATCTTTCCTTTCACAGAGAGTTACCTAACAAGATCCAGTGGTTAGAAATTAGACTTCAGACTAGTAAACAAGCAGTTGGGCTTTATAGCCATTGTTTCTGAGTAGTAAATAGCTGCTGGGAAAACTTATGAAGCAGAAAACTGGATTCTATGTCACTTAAAGTCTTTAAACCAAGGCTACATGCCTTTCTAAAAACAAAATAGATTATAGTTCAATCACATGATATGGCTGATTCAGGAGTGAAAACCATTGTCCACCTTCTGAAGAAGATTGAACAAAACTACTATATAACTGACGCTCTGTTCTCAAAAAAAAGAAACAAATCTATTAATTAATGCTCCTCTGCTTTCTCATAGATGGCATAACACATTATAGAAGAAAGTAGAAGTACCGTTTGTATCAACAAAAGTATTGCCTATTTTAGGATTTCCAGAGACAACTCCAAATACCAAAGACAGCAAGATTCCACCGACTACAACAACAAAGCCAGCAAACAACTGCCAACATTCACTCGAGTCTATAACTTCAGATATTAATATCACACTATTTTGAACCAAAAATATTTCTTAACAAAACAAAGAGATGTGCACCTAGAGCATATGGATGCAAAGTATTCCCCAAGTTTTCTAATCTGCTTAAATATTTTAATTATAATTAATTCAACTGATAACCCAAGAATTGTATAGTATCCAGGGGGGGCAACATTCCTACACGATTCCATTCCTGCGACGTACATGAACAACTGATATTTTTGGCAAGCATCGCAGATGATATGCTAGCACAGTACCTCTCCAACAAGAGTCTTTCTGAAGCAGTCAAAGGTCCCAGAATAGAGCGGAGGCTGACCAGGCTGCGGCTTAGGCTGGGTTTGCAGCCTGACCTAGTAAGATGGAATAGGAAAACATTATTTTATTAAATACTACTATCTAAACTTTGATTCAGAGAACACCTCTATATGACTATTATGGAGTAAGTTTTGTAACTGGACTTTACGATATTGCTAGAGACTTTAACATAATTTTAGCCCTTTGCAGAAGAGAAGAGATTGAATTTTAATGTATTTAACTAATGAATTGCTGGGATGATGTCAGGATAATAACCCACCCCAATACCTGATAACTAATGGCGTGTCACTGCTCAGCTTCCTTACCTAATTAGTGTGGAGGTGGGTGGAGGGGGTGT